AGGGTTCATTTGTTGGTGCTTTGGCAACGAGCCCGACGCCGCCCACTCCCACCTGCATAACGCGACGCGGCCACGGAGGTTGAAGGCCATGCGGTACGCGTCGCGAAGTCACACAAGATAGGTCCCAGGGTACGCAGCCAAGCGATCCCCAGGACGACGTCGCAACCCTGCACGGGGATGGAGAACATGTCGAGGCGGAAAGATTCCCTGCCGATCTGAAGAAGGACGTTGCGGCCCAGGCCTTGGCACGCCATGCGTTCGCCGTTGGCCACTACGACGTGAGCGCCCCGGCTATCGAAGAGGCGCAGGCCCACACGGCGCAAAGACTTTTCATACGATGAAGTTGTCGCGAGACCCGAGTCCAATAGCGCCGTGAACTCATGCGCACCGATCCGGACGCGCAACTGCATGGTGCCCGAGTCGCGGATACCTGTGATGGCAGACAGGGAAATCATAGGGGCATCAGGGTCAAAAGGGGGCGGATCTGCAGCAGGTGGCGCTGCCTTGTTGTCCTCAGCGTCGTCGTCCGGCTCCTCCACGATGTAATCGGCGACCTCGAGGTAGAAAAGCCGGGCGCACTTGTGGCCCCGCACATAAGGCTCGTCGCAATTGTAGCAGAGCCCTTGCCTGCGACGTTCCGCCATCTCCTCCGGCGTGAGCCTCTTGAAGGGGCGCTGCGACGTTGCCGATGAAGAGGATGAGGCTGCAGAGATCGTCCCTGTGGCTGCAGGAGTCGTAGGGGCCACTCCAGTGGCAGAGGTGGCAGCGCGAGCTGCATCGACGCGTTCCGGCGCTCGTACGCACGTGCCAGGTGCATCGCCCGCTAGAGGTCCTACGGATTGTGGAGTTCCACATCGACGCAGATGTGCTCGGGCAGCCCTCCGGTGAATAGTTTGGCCTTTTGGCCCGGCGACAGCCTGCCTGCATGCGTCGCCCGTGCCTGGAACGCCTCCATATAAGCATCAACTGTGGAGGTGAAGGGAAGGCGCGCTAGGTCGGAGAGATGATTGGTGCTGAGGGGCGGACCGAACCGCTGTTGACAGAGTGTGCGGAAGTCATCCTAGATTGGGCGCCCAGCATCAGACTCGAGCACCAGGTACCACTGCTGGGCGACGCCGGTGAGGTGGTACGACGCGAGCCAGACCCGGTCTTGATGGCGTGTCTGATGGCCATTGAAAGCTGCCGCCATTTGTTGACCAAATGAGCGGATCCTCCTTGCCGTCGTATGCCGGGAACACGAGCTTGTGGTACTTGGGAACCACGTGACCCTCCTGTGCCCCTTCCATCGGCAGAGAACAGACATCCGCAGTCAAAGTGCCGACACCGCCGAGCCGACGCCATTGGCATGCCCCCATGACGGACTCGAAGGAGGGATCGGCGAGGGTGTGGCGGAAGCAAATCTGCGTGATCGGCACGCCGAAGCGGGCCGGTCGACGTCGGTGGAGCCCTTAGTGCGGCGGTGGTCGCCATTGAGGTGATGGTATTTGTAGTGGACGTCGGAAGGAAGCACACCGGACGACGCAGAGCTTGCATCCGGAGTACTGGCGATGAGATGAGGCGGCAAGCAGCCAAGCCGGCCGGGCGGGCAAGGTAATCGTGGTAGGTCTTGCGCTGCGATGGGTGAGTCCCGCCCATCAATGGCCGTCGGTGCGCCGCGCCATGTTGGTCATCCGAAAGTTCAAAGAGGCTATCTGGTTTTGAATGCCTTTGATGGCATTGGTGAATTCCGTCGAGATTCCGCAGGATCGCGTATATCTCTGGGCGGCGGTGAAGGCTGCGAGGGTGGGGAAATCGGGGCCCCGATGTAGCAAGGACAAGGGCGCCTGATGTGGCTGGAACCCCAGATGTGGGGGGGGGGGGGCTCGAGGTGGGTGGAATTGGCGGCGGAACGGCCCCGGACGTCGACATGATCTCTGATACCAGGTTGTTACGACGCCTGGCCTTGCTGCGGAGGAAGTAGGGAGGAGAGACGGGGGCGAGCAGGCGTGGGGGTTTGCGGCGTGCTGGAGCCGTGATCTTAGTCGCGGCAACAGAGGGACGAGGAACAGGAGCGCCAGGCGCCCGAGGGAGATAAGAATATCTCAATCCTAGGCTGACCTTCCATTATTCCATATGGTTAGCCTTTATAGGCGTTACAAGACCTGCCAATAACATAGCTAACCGACTCCCCAAGTCCTGGACTCCTAAAACAACTCTTAACCAATCAATCTAACTTAACTTAGACTCTAACTCTTCCTCCAAACCGACTCTGTAGACACAGCGCATGCATGTGCGCCTAAAACAGCCATGACCTGACCGCGTGCTAGGATTAGCCACGCTGCCTACGATGATAGGTCTTACCGACCATAACAGAAACACATGTGTGCTGTGATCAAAGACAAATGTATTAGTACAATAGTGTTTAGGAAGTACACTAAATAATCATTTATACAGAACATGCAGCTCTTTTAGACTCAGATCGACAATGTTGAAATCAGCGTATATCCTGACGTTGTAATCTGAGTTGAATTTACCTTGTACATAATTTGTGCTTTATGAATTCAAAACGGTAAAATCATGTCCACGAGATATCTCATTGCACGAGATCTTTCTCAAGACACTGTTGCTTTGTTTGTCAGGTCTACAATGCCCTGGGGGTCAGCTACAAGCGAGACAACAAACTTGACAAGGCAATTCAGCAGTTTCAGAAGGCCGTGGAGCTCCAGCCAGGCTATGTGACAGCTTGGAACAACCTGGGTGACGCATATGAGCAGAAGAAGGACCTGAAATTGGCCCTCAAGGCCTTTGAGGAGGTCCTACTCTTTGATCCCAACAACAAGGTTGCAAGGCCACGCGTGGATGACCTCAGGCCGCGTGTAAGCATGTACAAGGGCGTGCCTGTAAAATCCGAAAGGCGATAGCTATTCCTTTTTGGGGGTAAATCATGCGTCTGTCTAGGCCCCGTGCAGAATAGCAGTTGTTCATTTTTTGAACGGTAGCATTTGTAAACATGATGAGCTTTGTAGTAGCATTGGAAAGGTCCCTGAAAAAAGGCGGATGTAATACGATTGTCTTGATGGAGCAAAAATTGGAGAATTTGTTGTAGGAGCCAATGTGCTCGTCTGCTGTGAGATGGAGGGAGGTTAACTGCTAAACGCTGGTGACAGAGAGAGATTGCCAATTATCAGCCTGTTCTTTTGGCTGTGGCTTGTCGTAAACGATCGTAAATTTTCAGCCGGAACAGTATTTTTCTCTCACACGAACCAGTCAGCAGTACTTCTTCACGAACCAGCAATGAAACGAACCAGCCAACCGAACAGGCTGTATGGTCTTACAAAAAGGCTAGGATGGGGGCAGTGGTTTCGTGAGGTATCCGCCGGGGTATATTTCATTATTTCTCTTTTTGTTTTCTATTCATTCATGCTCCCTCTTATCACAAATTATTGTCTTGGTTCTTCAGCACTACTTAAGCTTTTTCAGTGAAGGAACAATGTTTATCTCTGACAAAAAGTCAACATCTACAGCATCAGCCAAATTTTATCGCGAACAGGGCCAATAAGTGACACTTTGGGGTGGTTTAAGGCCAACCATTTCAAACTGGGATGCGGTCAAATTGGTTGTATCAGCTGGGCCAGACTAGACGAATGCAGTGTAGGGTCCACGCGTGTCTTCTCTTTTGCATCCACTCAAGGAGGCAACCAAATATCTTCCTAATTTTAGGATTAAGTCTATTTTCAGCCTATAACTTTTGTTTTTGTCTAATTTTGACCCATGACTATAAAACCATCTAACTTTGACAACTCAACTATTATAAACCGTTTAGTTTTGACACCAAAGCCATCTTAAAACCACTCAAAATCGTCTCGGGGCAAAATTGAACAATTTTGATAGTTGAGGTGCTAAAGTTAGAGAGGCAAGAGTTGAGGGGCTAAAATAGACTTAATCAAGTACTTTAGTTTTTTAAGATATTTATGAAAAATTATATATTTAAATTTACTTATTGATAAATATTTATGTGTATTAAAATATTTATCTATACTTTTTTGGTTTTTTATATATTGTTTTTTTGTTCTAAATACAAATCCAATTCATTTCAAATGTAATCTATATGTTTGAATTTCTCATAGTTTGAAATTCAATTTTTTTTTGAAAATTGTTCGAACTAACTTGGATGAAGAAATGATAATTCTGAAACTTCTTTTTATGATAAAAATCTAATGAAAAAGTGTACATAAATATTTTAATACATATAAATATTTATCAATGAGTAAATTTAATATATAAATTTTTCATAAATATCGAAAAAAAACTAAAGTACTTGATTAAGTCTATTTTGGTCCCTCAATTTTTTTTTTACCTTTGTCTAACTTTAGCTCCCCAACTATCAAGACCATTCAATTGACGCCGAGATGGTTTTAAGTGGTTTTGACATGGCTCTGGGGTCTAATTCAAACGGTTAGACGGCTTTATAGTTGGAAGTTAAAATTAGACAAAGCTAAGAATTCAGTGGCCAAAAATAAACTTAATTCTATTTTTATGCATTGGTCCATGAAACCTCACCGCGCATCTTTTCTTAAAAAATAAAATACGGTTCCACCGGTCTGCACCATTTCATCCGGATATATGACGCAACCTCTGTCTAGAGGAAGACGAGTTAGCGGAGGCACTGGATTAGAAATGGATGTGGGTGTACGTGTATATGTACAAAAGGACAGTACGCGATGCAGCCGTTATCCACCCAGTACCAGTCTGGTGTTTGTTTTCTCTCAAACTCGTCTGTTGTCTGTTAGACACTATCCGTAGGCGGATTCCCGTCTCCACAACGTGTGGTGCGCGCACCGCCCAAAATCCACCGCCCCGGCGCTCCACCACATCGCAGCCCGCCGTCGCGCTCGCGCCTCTCCACTGTGGCGCTGTCCCCTCCCTCCCCTCACAAAGCATCGGCCTCTACGAGCGGACGCGAGCCGCCCACCACGCGACCTCAGGGTGCCTCTCTGCCTGCTCCCGCTGCTCCTTGCCCAATGGCCACCGCCTGCCGCCTCGCCGCGCCGCTCGGCCTCGCCCCATTGCCCCGCGGCCGCGCCTCTGCCGGCGTCGTGGCCGTCGCCCAGTGCGGTGAGATCGAACACCTTCGCCGCCCGCCGTCTCGCCGCATCCCGCTCTTCTACTCTTCTCCTCCTTCTCCTAGTGCTTACGCCAGCTGCTGACCATTAGCGACTTTGCTTGTTGGCTCGGTCGTCAGGCTCCAAGATCCCGAGAGGCGGCGTTGCTATCAGAGCGACGTCCGGCGGCGAGGGCGCCACGGAGGAGGTGCCGGAGATCGTCAAGGCTGCGCAGGACGCGGTCGGCATTCCCACATTTCCTTGTTATATTACCTCACATCTTTAATTAATTTCCTTGCGAGTTGAGTTGCTGCTGCCGTAATTTGCTGCGAAATGTGCATTACCGTGAACGTTGTTTCTAGGCAGTGGGACAAAGTTGAGGACAAGTACGCCGTGGCCACCATCGGTGTCGCCGCCATCGTCGCGCTCTGGACGGTAGTAGGTGCCATCAAGGTACATGACCAAGACAAGCACACACTACATGTTTGTTTACTTCTTGTTCTTCACTTGATTGTTCAAATACATGAAGTTACAAGCATCCTCTTTTCTGCGCGCTCAGGCCATTGACAAGCTTCCTCTTCTGCCTGGTGTCCTTGAGATAGTTGGAATTGGCTATACAGGGGTAAGTTCTCAAGCATTTCTATTTGCAGAGACTCTGTTCCATGTTGCTGATGAACTTCTCTGATCATTTATCAACGTGTGGAATGTGTTGATGATGCAGTGGTTCACATACCGTAACCTCATCTTCCAGCCAGACAGGTGAGGCACACTGTTCTTGGCGATCCCTTTATATGTTACAATTTGGTCTTGTAATCCTTATCTTTCTTCCTCTACCAAAGATCATATCGTTCCTTTCTTTTTCCTGAAACGTAAAAATAATCACAAGTACCAAGTTAACTGTGGGCATTATTGAGTTCCTTTTCATGACCTGGTATCAAATAGCTCATCTTCTGAATCATTACACTTTTCAGTTATGCAAGATATATCTTGTCTTGCATTTGACAGATATGGCTTTACGTTATGTCATGACACAAAAAGATGTAATGATTTATACTTCATTCTACTGAAAATAACCTCTTCAGGAATATTGTTTCCTAGATATTCTTGTACCGATTTGTTTGTTATAAACTTCTACCTAACCATATTGTATCTTCTTAACGCAGAGACAGACAACTCTTCCCCTGTGCATCTAGAAATTAAAAAAAAAAGAATTGTCCATACTATGCTTGCATAAAAGAGGAACTAACTATAGTTTGGTAGATTTTCATATTCTTATCAATTTCTGTGCACTGATGGATTATATATTTACAGGGAAGCTCTGATCGGCAAAATCAAGAGCACTTACAAAGAAATCACCGGGAGCAGCAGCTGATCAAACATCATTTACAAGATGGGTTCTTAAGCAGATGGTAGAGTTGCATCCGTAAGCACTGAGCTGCTATGCAAGTGAAAGTGCTAACATCGGAGACTGGAGCCTCAACTGCTTCTGGTCCCCTGACCTAAGTCAGAGAAAAACTCTGCAGTTGAGCGAGCAAGCCGTTTTACTTGTTTCAATGTAATATTTATGACATATTTCCAGTTCTTTTCCAGACTACTGCTTACTATGAAGCACAATCTGGGATTTTAGAGAGCATGCGATGCGATTGGCTCTTTGCTTTTTGAACTATCTCAGACCTATGATCATTTGGTTGAATGTTCTTGTACCAACGTGCATTGCTATCTCTTCTCTCGAGAAAGGGCATTGTTTTTCCCCTCTCCGGGGAAACAAATATGACTAGAAATTGACCTCGAGAAGAAGCCTAGTATGAGAATATGCTGACTGGTTAAAGTCAACGGGCTTGCTAGTGCCCGGACTTCCGTACACCCGAGCTTGCAGTCATTTTTTTCACGCCGTTTCGTGGCCACGTGGGGCCCACACTGTTTCGGACATCACTAGCATCGAGAAGAGAGGGGGGAGGCGGCGGATGCTCAGCCGATGCCGAGAGGAGGAGACACCGAGGCGAGGTAGCAAAATACGAGGAAGGAGATACAACACCCGATCTACTTTTTAAAACATTCAGATGCAACCCTTGCATCATGTATTGAAGGCAGATGAAACACTTAAAACAAGTATCTGAAACACTTGCAAAAGCTCCTGAAAAACACTTGAAACCATTGAAAAACATACGCAATATCCAGATAAAAACACTTACAAACATATGTGTGAAACATATGTAATATCCAAATAATACACTTACAACGTACGTCTCAAAAAACAAATAAAACATTGGAAATAAAGGTCCTGTTTGGCTTACCTTATAATCCACACTATTCAGCTTGTTTTTTCAGCTGAAACAGTGTTTTTCTCTCACAACAATTCAGCCAGAACAGTGTTTTAAGCCAATTCAGCCAAGTTTCAGCAAGCCGAACGGGACCAAAAAGCTTGCAATATACGTGTACAACCATTGCAACATATGCAACATCTCGATTTACTTTTGTAACACCTATATGAAACACGTGTAACATACCTCTGAAAACGTCTGAAACACTTGAAACAGACACTTGCAACATGCGCTTTCAAGCGCAACATCTATTTGATGCTTAGACGAAAATGGAGGCTCATCCACGCTGAGCTCGACGCCGATGTGGAGCTCGTCGACGGCACAGACCTCGACAAGGGCCACGATAGGCGGATGGAGCGCGGCCGCAACGGAAGGTACGATTCCGGGCGGGGGTATGCGGCGTAGGCGTGCGGTGGAGGCGCGTGGCGGGGCGGCGTGAGCAAGGGTGACGCGGGCGAGGGCGGGGTCTATCCCGCGAGCAGGGGTGACGCAGAGTGAGCGGGCGACGCAAATGAGGGCGGACGCCCTATCAATAGCATTATCGTAAAGCAACCTCAACAAATTCAAAAGAAAATTACTAGTTTTTGGTCAAATTTTATGGTACAAACAAACTACAGATCATGAAGGTTTCAAAATAAGCCCTGTAGAAAAGACGTGTAGTATACTTTTTCGAGAGAGAACTCATGTGGTAAAATGCCACGATCAAATGAGTGTTTTTTCTCCTTCACCGCGTGATGGATCTTCTCTTATATCTTCCCCTTCTCTTTGGTGTATTTGGTTGCTTTCACAACCCTAGATCGTATAACCTGTATGAGTAGATGCCGGCTGAGCGGATATATTGGTATGGAAAAAAATACTATTTGGTTGGTTGTATGGGTAGATCGGTTAGACTAAAGTCGTGCAACGACGTGGGTTGCCGTGGGTTAGTCGGTTGGGCTATTGTGTTATGGTTATGTGGGGTTTTTTTGTGTGTGTTATTAATCCGTGCGTATGTAAGTTTTTTAGTCTGGTTTTCTCTTATAAATTAAACCAATTCTATTCTTCTTAATTAAAAGGTAGAGCTCCTGCCATTATCCAGCTCGGTTGATTACTGCTGCCTTTGGTGGCCGGAGAACCGAAACGCAGAGGCCCATATGGCCATATCACCTACGCGTTTGCCCGATAGAAACGAAACAGCCGGTGGTGAGGAAGACCAAGAATGGAAATGCAAATCGTGTTTCTTTTTTTTTTGTGAGAAAATTGTGTTTCTTTTGTGTGTGCATGATGATCAGCCTGCGTTAGATTTGTTGTTACAAAAATATAATAAGAAAGAAAAGTAGACTAGAAAGGCATTTAACTTTTTTTATATAAATCATCATCACAAATGCAAGGATTTTCTCTGAACAGCCGCACCATAACAAATCCAGGAGGTGAGCGCGTGAAGACAAGCTCACGTGCTGCCCCACACGTCAGGCTCCGTAACCGACCGGGACCCCACTCTCCGCCTGATATTTGCATAAAACCCCTCTCAAATTCCGCACCTCCGTGCCCACCAACCAAGCCCGCACGAGACGAGAGCCGAGACCGAGACATCTCGCCCTCGCCTTCTTCCTCCCCTCCCCGACCGCTGCCGCCTGCGACCTCTCGCCGAAACCCTAGCCTACCTTAGACCCCGCCTGGCCGGCCGCCGCCCAAGGGAAGGAGGGAGAGAGGGACTCACGCATCAAAGAGCGTCCGATGGGGAAGAAGAAGAAGCGCGTCGACAAGGTCTTCTGCTACTACTGCGACCGCGAGTTCGACGACGAGAAGATCCTCGTCCAGCACCAGAAGGCCAAGCACTTCAAGTGCCACGTCTGCCACAAGAAGCTCTCCACCGCCTCGGGCATGTCCATACACGTCCTCCAGGTCCACAAGGAGTCTGTGACCAAGTGAGAACTGCCTCCCCGTCCCCCTCTTCTGCTCTTCGGATCTTCCCCTCCTCGATCTGCGCCCGCCTCGATCCGGTGCGACTGATTAGATAGGGGAGCTAGCTCTGCTAATCTCCGCCGCCCCATAATGATGCTGTGCAGCTTGTTTTGATCTATTGGCATCCCCTTGTTGTTGGCGGGGTGTAGTGTAGTCGATGGATTGCACGTGCCCCTTACTGACAGTTGAATTTTGAAAAAAATTAACGTCTGCGCATCCAGAAATTCCTAGTATTATTACGATATTAATGCTTGTCAGCTATACCTTTTAACTTTTATTATGGCCTGAGAGGCTTCTTACCGAGAAAGGTAGAGTGTGATTCTGGAATCTGGGTGATATGCTTGTGTTAGGATCCCATCATGCTCATGGTTTTCATGATTGAGTACTTGTGAGCATAGGGTGTTATACTTTGATGCTTTGCTCGTTTTATCGATTAATGTCATATTTCATTCTAGCGTGTTGGTATCTATGAATATGCTAGCGTGTTGGTATATATCGATTAATTGCTACTCTGACAACAGTGCAGTTCTATTTTCAAGTACAACCTTTGCACTGGTAACAATTCTAACCTGTTACTTATTTTTGGCTACAGGGTTCCTAATGCAAAGCCTGATAGGGAGTCAACTGAGATAGAGATATTTGGAATGCAGGGAATTCCTTCACATGTATTGGCTGCACATTATGGAGAAGGTATGGCGATTTCTCTGCTGTAAAATGTTTCCTTATGTTTTTGGATGACCGGGGAGTGCTGAAAACTGTGATGATTCTAGAAGGGCACCGTTTCTGTAGTTTTTTTTTTCATAGTAGCAGTTGTTTTGTTATCCTTATCACTAAGAAAGTACTTCAAATTGTAGGTTTCTGGACTACACTAGCTGCATATAAGGCTCAGATAGAGAAAATATAATGGAATTATACATGCGCGGGGAATAAATTGAATTTAAGAGCTGAACTTGCTATTTTGTATCATTCCAGAAAGAGCATTATAACTTTTCCCCTTTACCTGACACATCTGTTTCACGTGCAGAGGAAGATCCTTCAGCAAAGGTAGCCAAAGTAGAAGTGCCACAGGTAAGGCCTGTTATTATGCCTAATTCGCTAGGCATGGCATTTCCTCCGCGACCAGCTTATGGTGTGGCACCTCCATTGTATGTTCTCTATTTCCTCCTGCCTACTTGCACCGATTTAATGTTTCTGTTCCCCATTCTGTATGTAACCATTGTGTGCACTCACTTTGGAAATGTTCTAAATCTTTCACATTTGCTGGCAGCTATAATCCTGCACTTAATCCTTTGATGGCCCGTCCTTCAATTTGGCCTGGTCCACCAGCACAAGCTTGGTATCCACAACAAGCAGCATATCCACAGCAACCAGCAGTTTCAGTTCCTCCAGTAGTTGCTGGGCTCCCACCACAACAGCCACTATTTCCTATTCACAGTGTGCCTACTCCTATGACATCAGCACCTGCTAATGTACTTCAAACATCATTTCCTATGGCCCCTCCAGGAGTACCTTCACCTGTTGCTCCTCAGGTTTCCCAGCCTTTGTTTCCTGTTAACACTTTAGTTGTCAATGGAGCTGCAAATTCCCCATTTTTGGCATCTGTGGCACCTGGAACCATCCCGGCAAGTTCTCCAGCAGCAGTTGGTGCTGCAGGAATTGGATCTGGAGCCAACAACCAAGGTATGTTGATCTTAAAATCATTCCTTTGTCAATGCACTGCAATGTGGTATATTTCCATTTGTTGGTGACTTCCGCACAGGGATTGTTGAATTTGTGCAGAAGAAATAAAAAATGAACATAAATATGTTCTTATGTTTTCTTAAAATGCCTTTGATTTTTCTGTTCCTGAAAGAAAAAAATAGTTCAACAGATAATGTACTTTATGTTGTCCTTGTTACTTTATAATTTCGATATTGTCATTTGAGACTTAAAGTGAACGATGCTTGTCTATCTCGTATGTGTTTTTGCCCATGGTGCAAGGTATGCTCTCAATGAACTTACATGTGCATCCATCTGCTCAGGCACTGGAGGTCCAGCAGTTGGATCTTCACCTGCAGTATCCAACAATAAGGCGTCCGGTGCCCAACCAGCTACGAATGAGGTCTATCTTGTGTGGGATGATGAAGCAATGTCAATGGTATGCTTCTAACTGGTATCTCTTGGTCTTTTAGGTTACTTGTGCTTTTGGTGCATTATAGTGATATGACTGAAATGTTAATAATCTCAAATGTTTGTTGTCTTCTATAGGAGGAAAGAAGGTTGGCGTTGCCCAAGTATCAGGTGCATGATGAAACTAGTCAGGTAAGTTGTGTTTTTTATGTTTCTACTATTGTTGTAGTTTCTCAAACAAAAGGGTTTGATCGCTCAATCTGCAGTTTGGTACTGAGCAATAGGGATATTATATTTTAACGTGTTCAACCAATTCTTACCTAAAGTCTATGCATGATTGTATCTTCTTTGGTGCTGAGCATTTCATTGTAGGGGTACTAGGATGATTTCTAATATTGGGCTGTTGCAGCATTCAAAGGCATTTTTGTTATCCTGAACATGGGCTTTGAGCAATGGCCTTCATTGTTTGTTTTGGTCCAACATGCTTGGGACCATAGATTTTGTGTTGCGGAGTGGTGGTGGATCACCTCAGTTTGTTGCATCTAGACATTTAGTGATGCTATGAACCATGCATTTTTTTGCATTATATATTTGTGCATAAGGAGTGAGCGAACATATTAAGGTTTTGCTACTCTTAACTTGTTTGTGATGTACGAACTTGCCCTTTTCTTTTCATTGGTATCTGCTATGGACATAACTGATGCATTTGATAATATAAACATTTCTTTTTAGCCAATTACTTAAATGCAAATTAAAACAGTACCTTGTTTATGACCAATTTTCATGTGTTCCAAACTTCCATATATACAAATTGCCCCTTTCATTTTTACTTAAATTTGTGGCACGCTCACAATGTACTGAATTTGTGAACTTGTAATTCTTTAATGTTTTAGGGGAATATGAAATAGTCTCATCCAAGTCATAGCATATGTGAGTCTGTGATGATTCATATTCTGTTCCACTTTTTTACATTTTCACAATGTCTCTGTTGTGTTGATTGGTCATCTATATCCTGCTGATTTCGCGCACATCAGGAGTTCCAAGTAGGTATTTACATCGTTCTTCCTACTAGTAAGTTTTCTATAATCTGACAAATTTTGTGGTGCTATGCTAATGGCTTGAGGGTTATCGACCAAGCCCTGGACAGCTGGCAAATATGTATGTATTTAATTTCAATTGAAGCATTAATTTTATCCATTGCCAATTCACTGCATGCAAATATGGGTTTGTAGCAAAAATAGGTGGCTGAGGTTCTGCCAATACGGTAGCATTTATTGTAGCTTAAGTTTGGTCGAGAATGTGGCAAGAGTTTTGCTCCAGGTCAGCTTTCATTTGGCCAGTGAGCCTGAGATGCTGCTTGAATCTTTGTTCCCGAGGCACCAACCATATCTAACACTAAGTTTGTTATTTCACAATTTGTTTGAACAGATGAGCTCTGTTGACGCAGCAATTGATCGAAGAATATCAGAAAGTCGGCTGGCAGGACGCATGGCCCTATGAAGAAGCTGGGCTTTGCTTGGTAGATTATACCCCCTTGCAGTTCGCCGAAGGACTCGCCTGCGCTTGTATCGCTGTGCAGCAGTCGGTCCTGTTCATTTAGTTAGCGAATGGAGTTGCTGCAGTTAAAAGGAATGTGTTGTTTCTGACTTGTTGGAGTGTCCAGCCTTTGTTGTTTCTATGTTTCCAGCAGCGAGAAGAAAATGAAATTGTAGCCCTTAGGAGTTATTTTGGTCCAATTGTCACCTCATTTGGGAATCAGCTGATGAACACAGCAATTTCTGCACGATTGTAACCTGGTGATGTGTTATTGCCAATTCAACCCTAACGGTGTGCATTGTCAGGAAAGCAAACTTAAAAATGTTACCGGATTTAATATTTTTGTCCCTACAGTATTGAGTATGATGCAATCTTGGAATATCCTTCCACTACTTTGGTTATTCGTTCTTCAACCGTTAACATGGCAGAACATTTTTTTTTTCGCAGTGGCATATGCTGGTTATTTATTTTTTTGAATTGATTAATGGCTACAGGTATCTTTCAAGAACGTTGAAAGTTACATCCTAGAGACTCAAGTCACAACGTGTACACCCAGCATGCTGTGCTCGGTTCTGAGTGGGGCCTATCTTGAGTGAGACCCAAGCAAATGCAAAGGGGTAGCAAGGCCTCCCAATCTGCAATTCTCTGGGCACGAGCACGAAGCAAGCATCTGTGCCAAGATTGCCAAAGGAGAAAAGGGCGACCGGCCGGGAGTCGAATCCAAAACCTCGGCATCACCAGCGGATCCCAATCATTTCCATGCTGCTTGACTCCTTTCGGACGACGCTTTTACCCAGCCCTCGCCGAGCTCAACATGAGGAAAGCTCACACATGCCTTTGTCTCGGTCACTCTTTCACTGCTCGCTTCACTCGCATCTAGCTCTGCTTTACGCGCTTTTGTCGCCGCTGTTTAACCGGGGCTGGGGCATGGCCACTATAACAACTCCGGAGCTACGGCCCGCACGGCCGCCATGCGTCCATCCGTTGAGAGCCCCATGTACGCCATGGAGGAGAGCACCGGATACCTGCTGCCACCACTGCGTCTGCTCTTCGTCTTCTTCGCCTTCCTCGCGCAATGCTGTGGTATGTAGGCTCCATCTTCTTCTTCTTCTTCCATGCTACTGTACCTACATGCTACTGTATCTTGTTGCACTGCCTACTCTGACATGAGCGTCAAAAGATTCGTTCGTTAGTATCACTCCTTGAGTAAGCAAGCTTCAACCATTGCTTGCTCGTTCCATACGTTTTCTTCTCTTTGATTTGGTGACAAGGAGTATGGATTATCAGATGACTAAGTGACTAACAGTAAATTTGATTGGGCAGGTGCAAGAGTGCTGAGGCCAGAGAAGATACTGCTTGGCCACTACTCTTACTACAGCACGCCGGTCATGCCTCCCTACGCCGAGGTGTTCGCACCAACAAACCCCCATCCTCCTCCTCCCGGCTCTCCCAACTGCGTCCTCACTCCGGACGCGCCGCCGCCTCCTCCGAAGGCGACCACCGTCCCGGCGCCGGCCTTCGTCTACTCGTCCCCGCCGCCGCCGGATATGGAATACCCTCCGCCGTACATCAGCCCAAGCCCACCAGAAATCAGCCCAAGCCCGCCGCCCACGGTTGCGCCGCTCCCGCCCATCGTTTACCCAAGCCCACCAGAAGTCACCCCCAGCCCACCAGAGGTCGCGCCGTATCCCAGTCCCAGCCCACCGGAAATCGCTCCGAGCCCTCCAGAGATAGTGCCGAGCCCACCAGAAATCTCACCGAGCCCACCAGAGATCGCGCCGAGCCCACCGCCCACGGTTACGCCATTCCCGCCCATCGTTTACCCAAGCCCACCCGAAGTCACGCCCAGCCCACCAGAGGTCGCGCCGTATCCCAGTCCCAGCCCCCCCGAAATCTCGCCGAGCCCACCGGAGATCTCACCGAGCCCGCCGGAAGTCGCACCGAGTCCACCGGAGATCTCGCCAAGCCCACCGAGCTACGAACCAACGCCGCCAAGCATTGTGCCGAGCCCACCGGAGTACGCGCCAGAGCCACCAACCTACGTCCCAAGCCCGCCGGAGTACGCGCCAGAGCCACCATCCTACGTCCCAAGCCCGCCGGAGTACGCACCGGAGCCACCGACGTACGTGCCGAGCCCACCGGCGTACTACGCGCCGGAGCCGCCGACGTACGTGCCGAGCCCGCCAGAGTATGCACCAGAGCCGCCGACGTACGTGCCGAGCCCGCCAATCTACGCGCCGTATCCGCCCGGGATCATCCCGAGCCCTCCGGAGTACGCGCCGGAACCGCCTGGGATCGTCCCGAGCCCGCCGGAGTACGCGCCAGAACCACCTGGGTTCGTCCCGAGCCCGCCGGAGCACGCGCCGGAGCCGCCGGGGGCCGTGCCTGGCCCGCCAGAGTTCGCGCCGGAGCCGCCGGGGGCCCCGGCCGTCCCCTCCCCGGGAGGCGGCTTCCTGCCGCCGGTGGTGTTCCCGCCCCCGTTCGCGACGCCGTCGCCGCCGGGGACGACGGGCTCGGAGTGGTGCGTGGCGAAGCCGTCGGTGCCGGACCCCATCGTGCAGCAGGCCATGGACTACGCCTGCGGCTCGGGGGCGGACTGCGACTCAATCCTGCCGTCGGGCCCGTGCTTCCGGCCGGACACCATGCTGGCGCATGCCTCCTACGCCTTCAACAGCTACTGGCAGCGCACCAAGGCCAATGGCGCCACCTGCGACTTCGGCGGCACCGCCATGCTCATCACCAAGGACCCCAGTAAGTCGTCTCCTTCTCCAACGTTGTTCTAGATAATTACTCGCAATGCACATTGCGTCTAAATTCAATAAAAATTTCACAAATTCTTCAGCTCAATGCATGTAATGTAAACTATGTATGCATTCTACTTTTCAGGCTATGGTGGCTGCCACTACATTTTGATGTGATCAGGCTAGTCCCACCGACAAGGAAGTGACTGCACTGTTCCTGTGACAATTTCTTTAGCTATCAACTGTGGCCTAAAGCCCTGAAAAGCTTTGGAAGTAGGATACAACATTTCCTGAAGATCCCATGAACTAGAGGTACATGCTGTTCTGATGTTACTGAAGGAACTTGCAGTGGATCACTGATTTTGTATAGGGTATAAAAGACTCCATCAGCCATCCATTCCATCCTATTTAGACAGTCTTCTAACTCCCACCCTTTTTTGGTACTCATTGTTTTTGTATTATTCTGATGAATAAGGTATGTAATATACTAATATCATAGTGGTAAATAAGTCCCTGATGATGGTACAGCTAATTCATAACTAGTGTGCAGCGGGAAGTGTTTTATTGTCTCATCTGATAGTTTTAACAGCCTACTGATTCTGTTTCTCCAGGGCACATAACAAACTCACTTCTTTTGAACACACTGTCACTAATTTTAGCCCTGAATCAGGCTGGTGCTTCATTAGAAGAAGCAAACGCCTGCAGAACATAAACTGGATCGCCAACCTTGATGATCTTTCCTTTTCCCTTTCCTGATAGAGATTCCTCGCAGACTAAATTCTGCCCAAAGTACACCTAGAAAAATCGATTAAAACGTTCCGTTGTCAGTGATCCTGATGATCTTAGCAACTTGCAAGGTCACAGACTAAGCAGATAATATGAGGAAGATGCACAAGACAAATACCTGTCGTTTATTTTTGTGGCTTGGACGAAGCACTTGGTCAGACCGGAATGTCAATAGAGTTTCAGTTGGTTCAGTGCCAGGTATTCCATTGATTAATGGTTGGCACCTGAATTAGCCAACACGATAACTAAGCAAACGATAAATTTGCATGTATTGGCTTGCTGAAGTAAACACGCACATCATTGTATGATTTGTATCCAATGTGTCCATTTCTATGTTCCAGGGAAGAAACACCACTGCAACGAATTATTTCTAAATTTTACAAGGTCACTTCAAGTTGACAGATAAATAAACTAATAACCGTACTAAAGTCTACAGCTAGGATAAATTGACTTACAGGATAAGTACTTAATAGACAATGTGTAGATATAAAAGTTGATCAGTATTAGATTATCACACAATTAAGTAGTTCAACATCAGACCATACAGCCACCTTCTTGAACCACTGATTTATTAGTTCAACATCAGACCATACAGCCACCTTCTTGAACCACTGATTTATTTTCATCAGGTATCATGTTCCCTTTGAGACATAAACTGCATGATCACCTTCGAAGCTAGAAGAGTAACAGCGAATATCTGAGGGGGTATCTTACCTTGCAACGGTTGCATAACTTCACACCTAGGAATGTTAGGTTGTTTATCTTTATGGTTTTCCACAGGTCCTCTGAGTATGGGTGGCATCCATCCACTAAAATACTGTCAAAAGGAATCAGCTTAGTAAGAAGGTAAGGACACAAGTAGTAAGTAGCTAACTGTCAATCTCAATAGAATAACCCAGCAAAAAAGTGTACTCAGGAAACACAACTACAAGCGCACAAGCATGATGCTCACTTTGGTCTGAAGCGGTTCATTGGTACAGGTTCTTTAAGAATCTCATTTAGTGCATCCAGTGAGCCCTGCAGTACAACTAAATGTGCATTACGATGTGCAAGTTCTGTGTTTGGCAACATTCACACAGGGCATTTGTCACAAAATCGAATAGAAGTATGAAGTGACCTGAGAGGCTATCAGAAATGGGAAGCAATCAGTAAACGTGATCTTGTAACCTTGGGCGAAATCTGGATCGGTTGGTCTAGTTTCCGATGCTGTAAAAAAAGCAGCAAAAGTGTTGTCCATAAGCAACAGAGAAGATCATCCGAGCTGATGGGCGTCCGTATCGCGCCAGTCCCGCCCAAAATTACCCCGTACGCCGTCCGTATCGCGCCAATTTTTCCCAGCGGCCGCAGGAACAAGTTAGGCGTAGTTCATTCCTTGAACCCGAGCTGGGCCTTATTTGGGCCACAAAACGTAAATGGGCTGTGATTTGGGGGTGGAAATGTGCTCTTATATCAACCGTTGGATAGTAAATGAATGACATCGGGGGGAAGTTACCCATGACTTACCTTCAGTAAGTTAGACAATCCGAGCCGATGGGCGTGGCGGCATTTTACTATTTGTTTTGCTCGGCTACTATAAACGATAAAATTACGTACGTACTAAATCCGTTCTAAATTATAGTGCGTTTGACTTTTTTTCTCCAAGTTTAACCATTCGTCTTATTTAAAAATTTATGCTAAATATTACTTCTTTTGTCGTGGCTTGCCTCATTAATAAAAATTCTTCAAGAATGATTTGAATCTGACTATATTTGCACAAATTTTTTAAATAAGACGAGCGGTGGGTCAAAAAAAGTCAAACGAATTATAATTTGAAACGGAGGGAGTAGCATTTTTCTATGAAAAAGATAAACAAAGGAGTACCCCAGAATCCCCGGTTGAGATATAGTATCCATTAATTTATGAAATATATTTTTATAATAAAATTATTTAGAGATATAAATATTACTAATATTTTTTATAAATCTAGTCGAACTTAAAGTTTGATCCACACAAAACCTTGATGACATGAGTACAGTGTTTAAATCCAGAGGCTAAAGTTTAGGGGTGTCATATTGGGTGTCACATGGGGTGTCATGTAACACCCTCGGTGTGTACAGTTTTTGCTAAAACACTACATGAACATTACACTTGTGTGTGAATGTGTGTAATATAGGGTATAAAGCAATATACGAAACTTGAAACGATCGTTTGAAACACGAAACCCATGTTACATTTCATGTCGCGTTGTATTACTTAGGGTTCTAAATGAATTTTTAATGAACGGAAATGCTATGGGACGCATATGCAAAACTTTAGTAAAGTTGTAGCATGAACTTCATAGGTGACGATGAATTACGTGCGGTCGAGAACGAGATTCACTAGATAGCTTACTTAATAGCTTGGAAATGGAATTCGACGCGAAACCGTTTGAAACTTAGTCAATTTTCGTAAGTCGGAAAATGGGTCGACGAAGCAAGTTCAATAATTTTTATAGGAGGATCAGGTTAAGAAGTGGCATGGTTTTATGGTTCCTTTTAGTAGCCTGATAGACCAACTAGAGCGTAAACTAGGTGGTGTAGCTACTGGATCGTCGAGTTGGGTTTTTGAGCAGCTATAAAAAGCGTGCAAGTCAATTTCTCGGCCGATTGCAGTGTCTGGGCGCGATCACCACGCCGGCACTCGTCATCGCCGCGTCTGCTGCCCAACGCGTGCGCCATGCACGGGCCATCGCACTGGTCGGCCCTGCCGCTGGCCCCGCACTGTAGGCCGCGTCGTCGTTGCTGCGCCTGGCACGCCACACACACACGTGCGCCGCACGCACCGCTGCCCGGGCCTGCCTCTGGCCACCGTCACCCACACCGCTGTGGCCAGCCCTGCCGCTGGCCCCGCACTACAGGCCGCGCCGTCACTGCTGCGCCTTGGCACGCCACGCACGCACACGCTCACGCACAGCCGCGCGGACCCGCACCGCCGTGCTGCGCACTGGCCGCTCTGCCGCCTCGTGCTCGCTCGACGGTGCCGTGCGCGCGTGGCCACGCTTGGCTTTGCCCGCACGTCGCCTTGCCGGCGTGGGATTGTCGCCTGCTTTTGCCGTCACTTCGGCTCGTCAACGCTGCGCTGTTGCCTTCCCTGGCCGGAGCCGTCCACTGCGACGCAGTACTGAGCCGCCGTCGGCTTGCGGGTTATGGCATTGCGGCCAAGCGTCTTGTGCACGCCTCGCTGTTCCCCATCGCCCGTGTGTGCTTGTGCTTTGAGTTGACGGCCAATCTCGCCACGACAGCGCCGAGCCACTTTGCCTACCTTCCCTGTTCCTCTGTCGCCGGGCCGCGCCGAGGCAAGCTCGCAGCGTCAGCCAAATCCGTGAGATTGCGTGCGCCCAAGAATGGAGTAGAGACCTAGCTACGCGCCGAACATTTCCACTGCTGCTGCCAGCCGGTGTCGAGCCCCAATTTGAAGTTCCTTCGCCGTCGGTCACTTTAAGACTCCACGACAGCGCCCGTCTAATTCCCCTAGCCCCGTCCACCTCCATCCAATTCGTTGGCACTGTACCTTCGCCCCGCTTCACTCTATCCCGTGCGCACCCCATTTCGCCCTGCTACTGCCTGCTCAGCGCTGCCGCTGAAGTCGTGCCATCGCCGCCGTCGCGAGGCTTGCCGTGCGCGTGTGGCCAGGCTCGCTCGGTCAGTCTCCGATCAAGCCACCACGACTGGTAGGTTCAGGGTGAGTCGCTGTTGCCCATCCGTGAGCTTGTTCACGTTGTCTGTGCCTTGGCTCACGGGAACACGCCCGCTGTCGCAGGGAGGAGTCCGCCGCCGTGGAGGGAGCTCGGGACAGCGTCTCCGTTCATTGTCTCACCTCCCACCGCTTCGAGTTAACATCGAGGTGAGAATCAGCTCCTTAGATAGGGCTGTGAGGGTCTGGTGTGGCCGGCGTAGCCGCCCGGTGCTAGCGCCGCCGCGTCGGTGCATGCGCGGATGCCGGGGGACTTGGGCGTGGTAAAGAAGGGAAAGGGGAGGGTTTTATTCGTAAGGTGACTGTCTGTAGAAATAGTACCGTGGACCTCAGCGTGGTTCATCGGTAGGTCAGGGGCGTTTGCGCAAAACGGCCATCGCGCGGGCCTTCCCGTCGTGGGCCGGCATCGCTCGGCTGGGCCATGCCTTTGCGTGGGCCGCGCCGGTGGTGCGCGCGTCGCGCGGTTGTGGGCTGCGCTGCGGTTAGTGGGCCGCGGTATGAAGTTGGTTTTCTATTTTCCAGTGCATTAATAAATGCTTATTCATTTTAGTTTTGAGCTAAACTTTGATAAATGGTAGTAAATCTTGTAGATATCCAAAAATAGTGAAAACAAGTTTGTTAGGTTCACAAAAATGCTATCTATTTGTTAGTGTAGTTAGATTACAGTTAGCTGTGGTAGTGATGGGTTCATAAATTCAAACTAGAGAGCTTAGTATTATATAGATTAATATTTGTAGGAATTTTTGTGGTAAATTGGTGATAGCTATAGCTATAAAATTTTCACAGTAGGCTCATTAGGTTATTATGTACTTGCTGTAAATTTTGTAGCCCTAGAGTAGGTTGATAAATAGAGTAGCTATTACTCTTGTTTTATCATATATAGAGTAAATTGGTATTAGGAGTAAGAATACCTTTAGTTGCTAAGATAAAATATGTCATGCTTCTTACTTATAGTGGTAACAATACGTAACTTAGCATCTTAGCCGGCAGGACTAGCTTAGTAACTTGATAAGATATAGTTTATTTTAAGAGCTGCTGTTGTCATATTATTAAGTGTTGCATCATCATTTCATGCATGTAGATCATGAGTTGGTAGAGTTCATGCTCGTGGACGAACAAGATTACGAAGAGGTCATTGAGTACGAGGAGGAGATCCTTGTGCAGGAGGGAGCCCCGGAGCCTTTTGGTGCTGACTTTGCTGACCCGTCGCCTGCCCAAGGCAAGCCGGTGCATAACCCATATTTTATGATCACTGAATATATATATGATGTGCATTTATGTTACAGGCATTTTATGGAAACTACATGCATAAATATATCTCCCTATGAGCACTACTAGTATAGGTCGAGTAGCTGCTATGCTCAGGATATCGGTAGCGTGAGTAACCTACCGTTACTCACAAATAGGTGATAAATATGATCACTCATGATAAAATGGTGGAAAGGAAAAGTGATGACCGGGCAGGGATATGGTTTGGGTACTGGTGGGTGTAAGAGGCTGTGTCATGCGGTCAACAGGGCATAGCTTGGTTACACTTTTTCCCTGTCTATGTCGGTTAAGGACCGGTCGTTACATATGGCTCTAGGCAAGTCACAGACTTATTATCCCGAGCACATACTTGGGTATGGGCGCAGGGAAGACTCGTTGCTCTCTTGTCGTGGATCCGGCTCTTTTCGGACCGACTGATTGGAGGCGGGGATGGTGAAGGTCCTTGCACCGCACTGAGTCCGGGACTCAGAAGTGGGGGCTTGGAGTCCAAGTTTGGACGGGGACTTGGACACCCAGGACAGAAGGGTGATGGGTTAGTCCTACTTGTGCCTGGGGTACAAGCGGGGCGTGTGTTTTCGGGGTACCCAGCTGGGGGCATTGATTCGCGAATTGCCGGGCAATCTGGTATGGCTTGTCTATGGTTTAGCATCGTAGTAATAACTGAAAGATGGAAGATGATAAAATAGAACTGAATGCTCAACTCTTACTTGAAAGTAGAATAGATGCTTACATAGACCGACTAGATAATAAATTAATACGACTGTTAATAATAATATAAATAAGGACTCACTATTAGTCTTGCTTTCTGAAAAAAGGAAACCCAGCAAACCATAAAACTTATCATATCCCTTGGAGTCAGGAAATTATTCTCACTAGTCGGATAAGTCTTGCGAGTACATTGTGTAATCAGGGTTTATTTACCTCTGTTGCAGGTAATGCATGAGGAGTTCTATTGTGTGAAGGATTCTTCTAGTGGGCACAGACGGATCCTTGTTCATGATGGCTAGATGATTATTTTTAATTCCGCTGTTTCATATTCCGCACTCTGATATTTGGTAATGTAATAATGAAATTTCTATGAATTCTGAATGTATGAAATGGAGTAAGTTTGTAACTCGTTCTCATTATTGGATCATTGGAGAAAAATGTGGATCTTTCGGACTCTCCCTTGGGGTGTGCCCGACGGATACCGCCTGATGTAGCTTGTTTACGGGGTGCTTAGTGTCTGGTGGAAAACGAGCGCCTCCGTAAGTGGGTTATTTTGGGCGGTTCTGTCACATGTCACGTGGGAGTGTTCGGATAGTAATAATAAAACAAATTACAGAAGTCCTCGTTAATCCGCGAGACAAATTTATTAAACCTAATTAATCCATCATTAGCACATGTTTACCGTAGCACCATATTGTCAAATCATGGACTAATTATGCTTAAAAATTTCGTCTCGTAAATTAGTCGCAATCTGTGCAATTAGTTATTTTTTTAGTTTATATTTAATACTTCATGCATATGTCTAACATCCGATGTGATAGAGACTTAGGGGAGAAACTAAACGAGGCCTATTATAAGTTAAGTAAAGTTAGCTAATCAAATAAGATGATGTGGTCAGTCATCAATGTCACCGATGAAGTCAACGTTCCTAAGAGCACCTCGTCCTGTTCGGCTGGAGGAATTCTGGATGAATCTGAATGAAAAACACTGTTCCGGACGAAATATTGTGAGAGAAACACTGTTCCGGATGAAAAAAGAAGCGGATAAGTCGAGTTTAAAGGCAGATGAACGGGACCAATATGATTTATGAGCTAGTTTAAATATATTATTTTTGTATTTTAATAGAAAAGGAGAGGAGCACTATTATTCGATATAGAGCCAGAGCTAGTCTTATGTACACACTTCAAGATCATGTAAAGCTATCATGTTGTGCTATCCACATTATAATTTATATACTTTAATATTATTGAAGAAGTTTGCCTGACCTGTGGCTTTCGCCATGACACGTCAATAGGCCGTCCACATCCTCTCGGCTACACCGCGTAGATGACGAGCGCCAGTAACATTCAGAGAAAACAAAAATAGTGCGCTTGTGTCTTGACGCGTCAAAATGTTTCTCTCTTTCTGTCCTCCTTATCGACGGGCGACGGTGAGTCGGTGACGCTGGCTGGGCAGTGGGCAGCATCTCACGCCCCAGGACACAAGGCCACTGTTTTTGTTGAAGTTCAGATTTTTATTTATAATACAGAGATCATCTCTACTCTAAAATTAATGATTTTAGAAATCAATTTTGAAAGATGGTTAGTGTGACCATCTTTAAAAATCGACTAACAGAGACAGTTGGTAACGTGGCCGGTCTCTAAAGATCATTTTGCAGAAGAAATTGAAATTTGTTATAAAAGATAGATTTTTTTTAATCTCGGTAGAAGCCCACTAAAGAAGCATCGTGGCGTGCGTCCCAAGTCATACAACTTTTGTTGTTTGAGAAATTCAAACCACCCATCTGTCACGACCAGGATTGTTGAGTAAGCCGGCGTTGTAAGCCGAGGAGAAAATGCCATGACGATTCACGACTCACACAAGCAATGGAAGAGGGAGATGGAAGGAAGAGGCCGAGGCACCGACGGCCATGGACGCACCTGTATCTCGTGCTTTGCTCAACTCCATAACAGGTTTAATCATCTGAATTTCTTTGAGCAGTCAGCATGTCCGAACTTTTGTCAGACAGGCATCGCTTGCCGAACGACAACAGGTAGTACATCAGTACGATCCGTATTGGGTAAGCACAGCTGTTGATACCAACAATTTCCCAACCAGTTCATGGTCTTTGCACGCTCAACATAGAACAAGTGGCTGTTACATAGCCGGTCCTGATTCAGTCACTCAGGCTGGCACTTCATCAGACGAAGAGAACGACTGTGTAACATAAACTGGATCCCCGACCTTGACGATCCTTCCTTTGCCATTCAGTGACAGAGATTCCCTGCAGACTGCATTTTGCCCAAAGTACACCTACAAAAATCGACAGAAGCATGAGTTTTAATGATAGAGTCCATTATGAATCTATTTCGCCAGCATGTGGAGTACCAAGTTCCACAGATAAGACGCATGCAACAATCACCTTCCGTTTGTTTTTGTGGCTAGGAAGCAGCACTTCACCAGACCGATATGTCTGCAGAGTTTCAGTTGGTTCAGTAGGGCTAGGTATTCCAGTGTCTTGATTAATTGTAGGCACCTGAATCGGCCAGCACAAAGTGAATGGTTAAAGATTTTACTGGCTTGCTGAAGTTAACAGTGCACACCATAGTACTGAATTTATTTGGTTTCAATGTTCCTGGAAATTATAGTTGCCATGAGTTATATGACAATTTACGAAGATTACTTCATGAGCAGAACTAAGCCGACTAACTATTGTAAACTATCGATTTACTTTATTATAAATTTATCACATAAATCAATAGATGATCTAACCATGCAGCAAAGAACATATTTGAGATCAGATCCTGGGACCCTGGCCTTGTATTTTTACCTTGCAACGGCCACATAACTTCACACCTTGAAATGTTAACTTGTTTATCTTTACTGATTTCCACAAATCCTCTGCATATGGGCGGCACCCCTCCACTAAAATACTGTCAAAAGAAATTATTCCTGTAAAAATTAAAGCAAGCACAACAATTGCACTATTGTCTATTGGCAGGTGAAAGCTCCCGCTTGGCAACTGTAGTTGTTATTATCAACCACAAGACTCCACAACCACAACAACTAAACCAAAATAAGTCATTTAGAAAGTAGTCAAACACAAGCGCACATTATGCGCAGCTCACTTTGGTCTGAAGCGGTTAATTGGTATAGGCTCTTTGAGTATCTCATTTAGTGCATCCAATGAGCCCTGAAAACAGCTGTGCATTGTCAGGTAAAGATTTTTGTTTAGCAACAGTTGCAGATAGCATCTATCTGAAAACCATGAAATATATGCAAGACAACACCTGAGAGACTATCAGATAAGGGAAGCCATCAGAAAACATGGTTTTGTAACCCCGTGCATAGTCAGGGTCAGTCAGCCTAGTTTCCGAATCTGTTAAAAGATACAGTAAAATCAAAGTTCTCCATAGGTAACGCAGAAGATCTCATCTAGCAATATATTCCAGTTCCAGGTAAATGGAAAGGCCTGTAAGAAACAAAGGTTTGCACCTTCGTTGAAGCGCACCAGTCGAGTTGGGCACCCCAAAAAAGTGGAAAACCATTCGGCTGCTTCAGCTCCTTCATCATAAGCAGAGCCAGCCCACTCCCACACAGAGACATCATTGATTGTGGCGCATTCCACAGAAAGAGGGATCTTCAGTGGTTCCATTCCAGGTGCTCTGATAACTGCACCATGTAGTGGGTTGAACATAAATCGCAACTTTAGAACAGTTCTCTGAAAAATAAAATAAAATAAAATAAAACGGCTCACACTGCTTGACCAATAACAAATTAACTGGCAGCAAGAGGAATACTTGAATTATTAGAAAGGTAACAGGCCAGCTCACAAGTAAAATAGCAAGGTTGTAGTACAATTTCGGTTCTCATTTTTTGCATATACGTTTCAATTTCAGGCAGCAAGGTTGTAGTACAAGTACAATTTCTTCTACTAATGCTGTGAAGTGAAACATTTTTTCAAAAATTATTTATTCATACTGTTGAAGAAAATCTGCAGTTAAATTCAACTATAGCAACTCAGCAGGTACTGCTAGAATCAGAGAAACGATCAGCAATCCAGAAATACCCATGTGGTCGTCGGGCGTGGGGTGCCAGTCCTCGGCAAAGGCCTCCGGCGGCATCTGGACCTCAACCAGAGCAAGCCTGGTCTCCACCCTCTGGGTGTATGCCCTCCCTTTGGAGTTGACGAGCATCCACTGGCGATCCCACCTGAACCCTGCTTGCCAAGATTTTAGATTTCAACCCGAGCGAGGGAAAAGCGCATCTTTTCGAGCGAGGGGGTGAAGAGGGCGCGACCAATGGAACAAGAGCAGCTAGCAGAGGCAAGGTACCCGTGGCGGTGATGGGGGCTTGGGGCACGGAGATCCCCCTGCAGGACTTGATGGGGTACACGAGGACGGACTTCACCGTTGCCACCGGTGCCCCGGAGCCGCCGCCGCCGAGGAGCGAGGAGAGGAATGAGGCGGCCCTCTCCATTGGGCTGGGCGGCATGGCAGGCGTTGCAGTGGAGGTCAAAGAGATGAGCTCCGCTGTCGTAGAAGAGAAGATTTCTTTGCAGTCGCAATCGCAGCTCGTCAACGTCAAGGCTCTGAGCGGTTCAGCCTTGTGCTGCGCAGCGCGTCTTTCGCCTCGTGCATTGTTAGTTTTTTTTTTTGATAAATCGTGGATTGTTTGTTTATTTAGGCCACGTTCCCCCAATTTCTTGGATTTGGCACTATAAAAAAAAAATTCATCGTCACATCAAACTTACGGTATATGCATGAAGTACTAAATGTAGATGAAATCAAAAACTAATTGCACAGTTTGATTGTACTCTGCGAGACGAATGTTTTGAGCCTAATTAGTCAATGTTTGGACAATTATTACCAAATACAAACGAAATGCTACAGTGCGCTACAGCGCAGCTTGATTTCTGGCGACGCCAACTTTGGCCGGAACTAAACGCGGCCTTATATTTATGGGATTTGCCGGCCCTGTCCCTCTCGCTAAAATTTGGCATATGCTTATTTACCGTAGAAGAAAAATATTATTTATTCGCTGAAAAATACCTTTGGAGTAGTGCTGAAGAACATGGGCTAACGTTGAGGCGTCTGATTTTTCTCCTCCTTTCACGTGACGATTCACGGCCGCAAGATCTTTACCTTATGTCTGGATTAGCTCGCACACTATTCTTCTTCTTCGTTGTGTCTGCAGCGCTTTCTTCCCCCTCGCATCTGCGCCAGCTGTCACCCACCCTCCATCGCCCCACGGCGGCGCGGTAGCGTAGGCCACCTTCTTCCCTTCTCCCCTCTCGCTTCCACTATCTTCTCTAACTCCAGCGAGCACAGCCGTGACACCACCGCCTGCCCTGGTTCGGCCGCCTCCACCGCTGCCAGGACCCGAAGTCGCCTGCCCCTGTTTCCACCGCCTGACTAGCCTGCCTCCCCTAGAACCCCTTCTATGCCTGCCAGATTTGGAGAGGAAAGAGGGGAGAGGTCGGAGAGAGAGGTGAAAGATCATAATGGCTAGAGGGAGGGTGAATAGCACATTAAAAATTTCTACAACAACACTAAAGCAAGTGATTAGTCAATAAGATGGCGAAGTAAATTTTACGCTATCACTACACTTGGAATTTCAAGCCACCTACCCAATTCTAATTTCTACGATCTCTAGTATGTCATACAAGACCTATGTCGCTAAATTACACCTAGATGAACAAAGCTAGCTAGATAACTACAACTAAAGAGCTACACAAGCTACAAGCACTACACAAGGTGAATACAAAGTAACGAGGGAGAAGGGTAGAAGTGATATACCACCGTGTCAAGTGACCGATCGATGAATATCAATGAATACCGAGGAGACAATCAAGACACAGTGATTTTTTCTCCGAGGTTCACTTACTTGCCGGCAAGCTAGTCTCCGTTGTGGCGATCCACTCACTTGGTGGTTCACGCGCTAATAGGCATCACATGCCTAACCCGCAACCGGGTGCCGCACAACCAACACAAGATGAGGATTCACAAGCCACGTGCAATCCACTAGAGTTGCCTTTGGCGCTCCGTCGGGGAAGGCACAAGAACCCCTCACAATCACAATGATCGGAGCCAGAGACAATCACCTTCCTCTGCTCGACGATCCACCAATCATCGGGGCGTCTAAGTGTCGGCAAACACCAAGAGTAATAAGAACTACACCGGCCCAAAACGTCCAACTAGTGCCACAAGATGCTAGAACACTAAGCAATGTACTGGAGGCTCTCCAATATCACTCAAGTTGATGAAATCAAGTGTGCAAGTGAGTAGAGTGGTGTGCTCAGCTCTCAAAGGGTGTATGCAGCTGTTAGAAGTGCCAAGAGAGAGACCAAGGTCGGCCACTAGCTCTATTTATATGCCTACAAGCAAATAGAGCCATTACCCCTTTGGAGCAGCTTTTTGTGAGGGCACCGAACACGACGGTGCCTGGAACCGGACATAGCGGTGTCCCTCCCAACAGTCATTTTTCAAGGGGCACCGAATAGGGTGGCGGTGGCACTGCCCCTAGGGTGATGGTGACCACCCGACCAACTACACGAAAACCCCCTTCTCTTGATTTTTATGGCGGTGCACCGCCATCAGGGCGGCGGTGCCCGCGGCGGTGACCAGCTCGGTTTCCCTCGCTCTCGGGTGGAAAGCGGCGGTGGCACCGCCTCACTAGTGGCGGTGACCAGGCGGTGCACCGTCCTGCTAGTGGCGGTGCACACCGCCCCTTCCGCTGCCAGCCTTAGCTCCAGCCTTGCTCTACCACGTCTAGGTGGGCACTGCCCTAAGGGTGGCGGTGCCCTCGGGGCAACCCACTGCTCTCGTCCTCCTAGCTAGTCACCGCCACATGGGTGGCGATGCACCGGACAAGGGGTGGCGGTGCCCCAGTGGCAGCACCTCAAGCCGAGTTTCGCCTCTGTTTCTTCACCTTTCTCACCACCGTTGCAAATGTGCTAACACTCCAAGTGTTTCACCATCACGTGCAAGTGTGTTAGCATTTTCACAATTATTTTTCAAAGATTAAACACTTCTCACTGATTGTACACTAGGCCTAAAATGCATATGCATGTTTTCTAACACCTAGTGGCACTAGATGATCGAGTTGTCCAATAAGAGCTCCCCTCTTAATAGTACGACCATCTATCCTATATGTGATCACACTCTCTTTAGTGTCTCGATCACCAAAAATAAAAATAGCCCTATGGATATCACCTTTGTCTTGAGCCTAGTTTGTTTTTTTCTTTCTTCTTTTCCAAGTCTCGAAGCTCGATCATCATCACATGTCCACGCCACCAACATGAACTTCATTTCATGTGGCCATCTTCATCCATGAGTGCCACCTAACTCCTCCACTTGGATTGGACTATCTTATCTAATCATACACTTAGATGCAAAGATTAGTCTAACTAGGTTTCATCAATTATCCAAAACTAAACTAGGGCTTTCAATCTCTCCCTTTTTGGTAATTGATGACAACCTTCACAAAGATATAAAATAAATTCAAATTTGAATCCATATTGCTTGCCCAAGTATTTTACCATGTGTAAAGGATTTGGATAAGTTTCATGAACCCCCATTGGTAGCTTTTACTCCTCCTACATATGTGCTAAGAGTTTAGATTGAAAGTTTGCGGGAGAGTAATGTCTACCAAATGATGCTATGGTATAAAAGATAGACCTTTGAAGCGTGATACCAATCAGAGTGTACCAAATATACCATCCTTAGCACCATTGTTAACTAGACATCCACAAAAACTAGAATACCCTATGAGATCAACATTAGAAGCAAGGGTCTAGTTAAAATAAACTCCAATCTAGTTACTCAACCTATGCATGCTAGTTTTTCATTTTATCAGTCAAACCTACAACTAGCATCCACCACACAAGCATGGAAATTAATTTAAAAACTTGTGCTATGCAAGCAAACATATGAAATACACATTTAAATGCACCAATCAAGTTTATGAACTTGCTCCCCCTACTTGTGTGCTTAAAATTTTAATTGATCCTCTTACTTTGTCATATTTCTCCCTCTATGTCAAAGTTCTCCCCTTAGTGATTACTTCTCTTCCTATCACTTTATATCTTTATTTTTCTCCCCCTTTGTCATTAATGACCACAAAAGGTTTAATTTTGGATAGGTTAAGATTATCAATGTCAATCAATGGGGTGAGGATCATTTTCCCAAATTTGGTTCAATCTAGAATACTTGCCAAGGATATTTAACTCGGTTTGATCCAAGGACAAGCTTCTTCACACCTCATTTTAAGGGTTATCTTGTACCATGTTGAGTTAAACACTTATAGCTCATTTTCTAGGTCAAACACTAGGTTCACAAGCCCACAAACATGTCATATGCTACCACTAGATTAAGTCAAGCATAGAAGCAATAGTAGTACCATACAAGCATCAATTTTATTTGATTTTCATGAATAAGCCTATAAGACATGATGAATGACTAGATGCACTAAACAAGTCCTTAGCAAAGATGTATGCATGCCAATCAACTTTTACCTTAGTAGCTTGAAGGAGAGGCATGTCATATAAGTGGGGTACATCAACACATATTTGAGAAATCCAATATGTTCAACTCATTCCTTAGCTTGCAAAACCTTTTCTCATCCAATGGCTTGGTGAATATATCGGCAAGTTGATCTTCGGTGCCTACACTCTCAATGCAAATGTCTCCTTTTTGTTGATGATCTCTAATAAAATGATGGCGGACATCAATGTGCTTTGTTCTTGCATATTGAACTGGATTTTTGGTTAGCTTGATTGCACTCTCATTGTCACATAGAAATGGCACTTTCTTAAACTTGATTCCAAAGTCATTCAAGGTGGCCTTCATCCAAAGAATTTGTGCACAACAACTACCAACGGATATGTATTCGGCTTCGACGGTTGATAACACAACACTATTTTGCTTCTTTGATAACCATGAAACAAGTGATCTTCCCAACAATTGATATGTGCCTGAGGTGCTCTTCCTTTCAACCTTGCATCCAACATAATCCGAGTTGGAGTAACCAACTAGCTCAAACTTTGCTCCTTTGGAATACCACAAACCAACATTTTGTGTATGCTTCAAGTACCTCAATATTCTTTTTAGCCTTTAAATGACTTTCTCTCGGTGAGGCTTGAAATCTTGCACACATATACACACTAAACATGACATCCGGCCTTGATGTGATCACATAGAGTAGGCTTCCAATCATAGATCAACACAACTTTTGATCTACCATATTGTCACTTGCATCACTATCCAAATTGCCATTTGTTTCTATTGGTGTACTAATAGTTTTTGCTTCATTCTTACTAAACTTCTTGATCATGTCTTTGATGTACTTGTCTTGACTTACAAATGTACCATTCTTCAATTGTTTGATTTGAAGACCAAGTATGTAACTCAACTCTCTAATCATGGATGTCTCAAACTCATTAGCCATAATCTTTCCAAACTCTTCACAAAAGTCTTGAT